TATATTCAACACACTGAGTTGAGGTTTAATTACTAATGCATCTCTCACGCTTTTTTTTTTTATAACTGTAAATTCAAAAATCAATTCCATGTTATGAGAATAATTAGGTTTGCATCTACAGATGCTAATGTATGTGATATATCTAAGCAAGTAATTCAGTATGAGTAATATCACACATAACTTATTTGTAGAAATAAAAACTCTGAAAAAAATATTTTATATATTGAAATACTTCTTTCTCATATAAGTGACACTCATAGCAGTTGTTTTTATTTTAAAAGTTAAACTACAGTTAAATGTTTTGATACTTTACTTTCATGTATCAAGACTTTATAAAATGTTTGCCAGTATAAAACTTGTAGTAACTAGCATAGAAATTTTGTTACTTCTCAGAAAAAGTTCTCAACATTAAAATTTTGAAGTTCCAATTTGTTCTTGTTTTGCTGCATCAAAAGAAGAACAAATACACAACTTCAATATCTAATACTACAATATTTGTTTGAACAAGAGGAAATCGATTCCTTTATCACTAAACTATACCACATCTGATCATAAGTGAGTATTACAGTAGTAATGAGAAACAACACAGTTTCCATCAACAGTAACCTACAGGAATTAAGAATGTTTACAAAAGTATCAGGTTATATAAAACACCGTGCCTTTTTAAAACAAGCTTGTTAACAAAACAAAATACCTACTGTACCTAAATGTCCAGTTAAGCACATCTTGACAAACATAGCTTCATGATCAGAATCTGGAGTGAGAGAATTATTAACCAATGCTAACAACACATTGGTTTTTAAACCCACCTTATAGCTGAAATCCAGCTCTCACAAAAGGACCCCCTCCTGACCTATTTTTCATATCTTGTATATTTATACACATCTGGAGACACCGAGGATTCTTATAATGGTAAAAATGAAATGTTATCTTAATATATGAGGTTATGAACTTGTCAATTAAAACTAGTAACAAACTCAACAACCCCAGCCTCTCTGCAATACAACAGCACAATAAAAACATGGGACACAAGCTCTATCAACCAACTTCATTACTTTGACTACTGCTAAATCTGACTGCACTTTTTAATAAACAAAACCTTGTTCAATAATAATAACAAAAAAAGATGCTACACATAAAAATTCATAGTTTTATTTTCAATGAAACCTGTTCTAATTTCCTTTACACATTTTTTGTTTCTTTGTTAATTTGTACAATCCTATAGTTTTGTATACATTCCCATTTCCTCTAAATTACCAAAAATGGTATCCACACTATTCCAAAACGTTTAATAAACGTTCTTCACATTATTACCGTTGTCCTCTAACTTTTGATTAAACAACGGTTTCTGACACATAAATCAACTATTAAAAACCACACTTGATTATTAAACCCCAACCACCAGAGTTTACAAAAGGTCACGTTTAGTCTGCCTCTTTAACACGAACCTATCATAAAATTTTGAAGTTTAAGGAAAATGTGTTTGCTGCCCAGGAACCTATTCATACCAATAACTACTCACATTTTTAAACTATACAGCTTTGAAATAAAATTTTTCTAAATATTTTGACCTTACATTAAATTTAATGAATAAGTTAACAAAAATATGGTTATATTTGTTGAAGGGTCAAAGGTCTAGAACTAAATGTTTTTAAGAGGTACACACTTAACTTACAAACAATATGAATATTTGAAACAGCTATTTGTGGGATAATAAATTTATTTCTGTATAGCGTTTCATCCGTTATTGCGAGACATGTTCATGTACAACATTTATGTGATCATGTCTCGCTGTTAGAAATGAAATGTTGTACAAAAACAAATCTATCAAACTAGAAATGGTTGTTTCAAAATTTCATACTGTTTAGAACTATAGTTATGTTTGGTGAAAGGTCAAACATTCAGGCTGCAGTTAATAGATGAAAGGCCAAGAGTCCATAGCTGTAATTATGTTTGGTCAAAGGTCCAGGAATGTTGTTATACTTTGTGATAGGTTAAATTTTCAGGCACGTTTTTTGTGTTCTGCTGAAAGAATTACCCAACAAATCAACATCTTACAGAATGAGTAAATTAAAAGAGAAAGTCATAAAAGTTTCTGTCTCCAGAAAGGTGAACAAAAGTTAAATAACAAATGATGTGATTTTAGACATACATCAAAGATCAGTCATCACCCAAGTAAGTGTGTTTGTGATGAACTTTTCTATATTGGTAAATGTTCATCAAATATGTGAATCGTAGATGGTACTGAACTATATTTTTCAAACAGAGCCTTCCTCCAAAATTATAAAAATTGCTTTGGTTAAATATTTTTAAAAATACTATATGTGTGTGTGTGTGTTAATTATTAAGTTCCAGAAAATTTATGTTAAAAGTTTAGATACAACTTTGCAGGAATGCTAAGCATTACAAAGGAATCAGTCAACTACATGTAAGTTAAGAAATGATAGTCAAGGAATGAGAACAGCAAATGAAACTTTCCTCTTGTTCCAGCCTATAAATTCTGGGGGTCTAGGGGTCACCTAGGCCATTTTGGGGTACAAAATATTCATATTATTTATTGCTAAAATGATCAGTAAACATAGGTCTATTGCGAACTTAACTGATGTTTCAATGATCAAAGTCATAGACCAGATAACATACTAGCTGGCCATTTCATGATATATCTAAACACATACTACATACAAATATTTATAATTGCAATGATTGGACCAGTTAAATAGAAACTAATAATTTCATGAAATACTTGTACAAATTAGTTCCAACTAGGTCAAATTACTGATCATTTATCTATAAAATAAGTCTTTTAAAAGACAGATATGGATACTTCATTTTCCTGGAAAAAAAAAATGTTAGAAAAATTACATAGTTACAAAATTAAATGACTGATTTCTTGGGTAAAAGTTTGGAGACGGCTCGACTGGGTAATGAAAAAACTTTAATGTAAATGTACAACGTTTTGACAATATTATGTCACCCTCAGATACAAGTGGGTGTCAGAGCCCCCCCCCCCTCCACCCTAAAATTTCACCCTCCTGCCTGTAATATAGCTTATGAGGCTAAAAATAAATTTGGAATCTTCGATGTTTGTAATATGTTTTGATTTGTAGCAAAAAATCCTTAATTACTGAAAACAATATTGTAAATTTTGTCATATACATACTTCCTCAACTTTCATTGGATGATGTCCATCTCTCCAACTTAAGCTATCTAAATTATTTCACAAATAAAAATAATGTCCAATGAAATACAAAGGTCTGTTCTATGTAATTTTAAACAAATGGGTGAAAAGTACACACCATTTAAGTGGATGGTAAAAGTTAAGCCTACTTTATGCTGATCCTGTTCAATCATTCACTACTGCTTGTTTGTTTGAAGTTAAGCACAAAGCTACACAATGGGCTATCTGTGCTCTGCCCACCACGGATATCGAAACCCAGTTTCTAGTGTTGCAAGTCCACAGACATACTGCTGTGCCACTGGTGGGTTTCACTACTGCACTTTAAGGAGTTTGTGCTGTTCCAAGGTGTTTGGATACCTTCAACTTCAAAAGACATTTGTGATTGGTCAGCAGTCTATCAATCAACCACTTAAATTAAGCCTCACATATAAATTTTGGTTTAACATAAGCATCAAAGAAGACAAGAAAATCTTGAATTGAGCCTACTAATGCTATTATTTTATTTCTAGACCCCACTCCTCCAACAGTTTCTCATTGGATTTGAAGAAATTGGGTACAAGGACAATTTGACAAAAGCAATGGCTGAAATCCATCAGCTGACACATTTTCATCCCTGAAGACAGAAGATAAATAATAACTAAGTCTTCTGGCTTGATGAAGAATATGTTAGGTACATAACTGATCTTCACAGAGCAACCATAAATCCAATACATATGTATAATGAGATCTTTTAACAGCCTAAAAGCTGTTAGGGTGTACAAAAAGTGTCCAAATTCATCATATAGAAATTTTAAACTCTGTCTCGAAAAATTTACATAGATTTTACATATGATACTCTCAGAAACTAAATAAAATTAAAGCAGAATACATTGAGGGAATTGTATTTGCTGCATTTGATAATTCTGGATTAAGCCTTGTTCTATGTATGAGTCTCCAATGTAGGTAAATGTTTAACTCTCTACCTTAATACACCGTATCCACAATACAGTACAATCTACTGTATAATGTTACATAAAAAATGATCACTGCATCAATGTAGATTTCTAGACACATTGGCAGTGTAGGTGATACACTTCTTTTAACTGATCACAAGATAGAAAATTGTAGTTTGAGGTTGTTCCGTTTTAAATTCCTTGTGCTCTTCCTGGATTAGTAGCAGAACTTTATAGCATCACATTCATAGTTTTGTAGACCACGGTATCCAAAGAAAAATGCCTTATTAGTGATCTAGCCAACATCAAGATATTTCTAACTTTAAAAGCTATCAATTCACTCTACAGTAAAGCCCACACATACATATAATAGTCATAAAGTAATGCAAAAACAATCAACTACTGCGACAGTAAGCAAGTAGAATCAATAACAGCAAAGTTAACTGTATCTATGATAAATCTTTGTGCCATTTAACATTTTCGTCATGCAAGAATGGTGTAAAAAATAGCTTAAAAAATTATGACACTGAATCATACCACTCAACTAGTGTTAATATAAGGGAGAGGGGGGATTGTTACTTCACTAACATTATAACAATTAATATAAATCAAACTTTAGTTAATACTTGCATTGCCCTCGTAAAATTCAACATCACCACCATCTTGTTAAAGTGCTTAAAACCTTCTGTGTACTTATGTTATGGATGGTTTGAAAAATCAGGCTTGAAATGTCAGGTTTTATCATGACATTTAGCGACACATGCAATTATATCCTATATCATCAATATATTATTATTATAAAATTTTAGACAAATAAAATTTAAATTTTGGAAATATTTTGTAAAAAAGTTAAATATATACATAATTAAAACATTTATATGGTCCTATAACACAATAACTTAATGATAAATAAAACTATATATTTTTCCCTATGACTTTCAAAATAAAATATACCTCTGTATAACACAAAATGGTGTCATGAACTGATGACGCATTTCATACAAATTAATGATGAACTAAGTAGTAAACAGTTAAAGCAAACTCTAATTCAATCACAACTGTGAACTAATTTATAAAGTTTAATTTTTCTGGATTAATTAGTGCAGATTAATTAGCACAAAACTTATATGCAGATTAAATAAATACTTTCATAATACAGCCATGAATGAAAGCCCGAATGGCAATAGCTGTTTTTAGTTTCCTGTGCATCTGTGATCAGAATGAGGTTTTTTATATAAACCAACTTTCAAAAATATAGCAAGCTAAAAGTATTTGACTGTGTATGTTTACTGCACTCTTAATTTTTCTTTTTTTGTCTCCAAGTTGCTACTTTATATAGCTTATCACATACTAACAAGTTGCCCCTTTGAAATGTAGCTAAGTAATTCATTTCAAAAGCCCAAAAAAGTGTATTATAACATTTCTGTAATTGAAATGAATTCCTGCAAAAGTCTTAATTATATGTGAACTACTCATTGTTCGAAGAAACATTTACAAAACTTTATAATGAACTTTAATACAAATAAAAACTATATGTGCATTGCAATGTAGGTTAAATATGTAACTAATTTTCAGGAAAAATTAACAAAAACACAGCAAGTTGCTATAAAGACAGCTTATGTTTAATCTCTGGGATCTGACTACTCAAGGTTTATTTCATTTGATCCAACTAGACAAGTAGTGCCTTGGAGTGAATGTCTCGAGGGGTTTCTAGCACCCCTTCTAAGATCCACCCTGCTACCAAGGCTCCCACTTCTCGACTGTTGTTTATCACAAAGGCATGCTCAAAGCCGTGCTGGCAGAGACGTACATCACCTTGAGGAAACATCTCCTTCAAATCTTTATAGTAGGATACTGGACACCACTGATCACTGGATCCATAATAGAATATGAGATGATGCATGTGGGATTTTAGACTGTCGATATCCAGAGTGGTCACACTATCAAGTTCATCTTTCGCCATAAACATACACTGGCGGGCACACTCTGGATGAAAAAGGTTAAGACTAGCACGTAGGACACACTCAGGCACAGGACGATCTTTAAAATACCAAAGGAGGAGACGCCACTGTAGTTGAGGGCTTAGATAACTAAGAGCGTATACACCAAAAAGGGCAGGAAGTCTTAAATAGCTTAAGAGTGGCCACATCCACTGACCCTGGGGAGTTGTTGACATGCGTTCAATTATTGGAAAAAGTAATATGCCACGTATTACCTATCAAAGAGAAAATTATATTCAATATTAGAAAGTGAAATTATAAAGGAATCTATAATATACACAATACAAAGAATAAGAGTGTTGTAAGATTCATCGGGTATTGTTATGCATACCAATCCAACTTTTAATACCTATGATCTTGTAGCTAGAAAACTTCTTAATATTCTAAGAGTAAACCCACCATTGAAAAGAACAGGCAAAGAAGAGAACCTTTTGTTGGGATAAAGCTAAAGTGTGAGAAAAGGTAAGTGTGTTTCAGAACTCTTTCTGCAGAATTTATTTCTCAGATAATACTGTTGCGTATCTGCTTGTTTGTTAATTTCCGGTATAAATTCTTTCCGAGAAACTTCAGCAATACAAGTCCTTTCTTGATTAACCCAGTTTATTCTTCCTTGATACAACCTTTTAATACACA